AGCATATTACAAAAATCTGTTTTGAAATAAATTTGACAACTTCTAAGAAGTACCTTGGAAGACAAATTAGTGAAACTGACTCTGGAGGAAATATAAAATTTGAAAAGCACCTATTAAAGAAAGTATATGAAATAATTGCTATTATCAATGGCTGCTGTGCATTAATATTGTGGGCATTATTTTGAATCTTGCGAGGTCAGTAGTACTTTGCCCATTTTACATCTGGGAAAGTGCTTAATTAATTAAGAAACTCAAGCAAGTTCATCAACTAGTTAGTAGCCGAACTCTGTTTCAAATTTTGGTCTGTCTGACCTCACACCCTGAGATCGTCAGTAAAGATTCCACATCACTTCTACTTGATATAAAGTAGTCTGTCATTTATGTATATTTGCAAAGACAGCATATAAATTATTTTCCTCTTGTCTGAATTCTTTCAACAATGACTAAAAATTCCTTCAGTACAGGGATGGCAAACCTTTTAGAGACTGAGTGCCCAAACTGCTTGTGACATCATCTCCTGGTGCCACGACTCCTTTCTGAGCATGTGCATGGCCCCTGTGTGTGCTGTGCTCAGTGGCTGGGGCAATGCTGGGTGACTTGGTCCCATGCTGAGAGAGAGGGTTGAGTGTGCCTGCTGCAGCATGCATGCCATAGGTTCGCCACCCCTGCTTTAGAAGATCATGGGCAGGTTGTATGTACATAGGTGTGCAGGGAGAGTGTACATTGTAAAAGTGCTTGCCATTTTCCCTTTATTTCTTACAGTTCCATGGCCCTTTACTCACCTTGGCTGACCTTGTTGACCTGTGTGTGGATATTTCAAAAGGCTGTGTCTACTTGGAACAGATGCATTTCATCCACAGGTACAGTCATATTACGGATACAGGGTTAGGGACATCGACGCAATAATCATCTGTAGCTTGGGAAAATCACACAAGATAACTGGACATTTTCATTCCTTCAAAAGAGCAAATTTTTGTAAAGTCTGTCTCCCTTACAGACCTACTAACGTTCCTGTCAGATCTCTGGAACTGTTTTGTCATTATCCAACATAACTTCTGCCCTAGGGATCTGGCAGCTCGGAATTGCCTTGTCTCTGTGAAAGACTACACCAGCCCTTCACGGATAGTGAAGACTGGGGACTTTGGACTTGCAAGGGACATCTATAAAAATGATTATTACAGGAAGAGAGGGGAAGGCTTGCTGCCTGTTCGCTGGATGGCTCCCGAAAGTCTGATGGATGGAATCTTCACTACTCAGTCTGACATTTGGTGAGCTCCACAGGACCCAGAGAGATGGCAGAACTGGCAGACAGCAGAGCCAGAAGGGATCTTAAAAGGACACTTACTCTTGTTGTTTTTTTGTTTTGTTTTTAATATGAGATAACAGAAGACCACAGAGGTTAAGTGATTGCCTCAGCTGGTGGTCAAGGTGCCACTATTCCTGGGTCTCAGCCACTTATAACCCTTTCGAATCAGTTTTGATCCTTTATTACACATCTAAATAGGAAAGAGACACATCCACTGCAAGTATCTTATTGTACTTCAAAAGTGTACAGGCTTGTACTGAATAGAAATTGGTCCTTATGCATTCGTGTTCGTGTGTGCCTGGATGCTCCTCGGTTTTGGACGTCTGGTCTTTAACTTAGAGGCGGACTTTAAACCACGGATTGCAAAGAGTAGGACATTTGGAGAAGCTTGGCTATGTCTTTACTATTTGGATAAGACCTCTCACTGTCGCTTGTTGATCTCCCACTTTTGGTCAGAGCTGCTTAAAATGTGCAGATTTGTTGAATGACTTTTAAGCTGGGCTGGTCTTGGCAAAACTGTGTGTGAGATAAGGTTGGCCCTCCGTGTGGCCGCCATTTTCTCTGTGTTCACATTGTCCTGTTCCCTCACGCAGGGGACCCGCTTCCTCGCGCAGGCCCCACGCGGGTGTCCGCAGATTTGTGCTCTGAAAGCCCGAGGTGAAGAGTGCTGAGGGGGCGGCCAGGGAGGGCCAGAGTGTGCGTGTGCACGTCCACACGTGTGTGTGTCTGGGTGCCTGCGTGTGCGCGTGCCAGTGTGCGCACGTCTGGGTCTGTGTGTGTGAACGCCCACCAAGCCTTTCAATCACCTTTGAGCAGTTGCTCATGTGCCGTGTTGTTTTCTATCTTTTTTTAAAAAAGAGCAACCTCAGTTCATGTCTCCTGTTGGCCTTTTATAAGACCAGTAATGCCAGTTGTAAAGTTGACCCCAGATCCCAGGAACAATGATGTTGGAGAAGCTACTTTAAACCGATGTTTGTAGGAAGTATAATGACACGCAACCTTTTAACGTTCTAGGTCTTTTGGAATTCTGATCTGGGAAATTTTAACTCTTGGTCATCAGCCATATCCAGCATTCTAACCTTGAGGTTTTAAACTATGTACAAGCCGGAGGGAGACTGGCACCACCAAGGAACTGTCCTGATGATCTGTAAGTTGTTAAATTAGCACCCGCACCTAAGGCATAGGCTCGTGCAAACGTAGGCGTCAGTGGTGTGACATGCTGAGCTGAGCCCGGAATTTACAGACTGTATATCACCATAAAATATAAATTGATTGTGGCACTCAATCCACTAAATACACCGTGGCTTATTTTTATTTATATGTGTATGTGATATTTCATTCAGAAACAATGTTTGGAAGAGTAGGATATATTTATCCTCCTGATAAATGAATTCTAATAAATATAAGCTCTGTGTGTGTGTGGTGTGGATACATATATTCGTTTTATTTGGGGAGATTTTACCTGGGTAATATCTTAATTTACATTTTAAAAGATTCTGGTAAATGGGAGTATGTGGTTTAAAAGTTGGATTGCTTTCATTGATATGGCTGACATTGACCGATTGGACACCATGTTACTGAATATTATACAGATTGTGATCTGTTTGTAAAGATAACACAAAATGACTACTAGTCACTTTGTCAAACTGACCTTGGCCACTATTTGAATTCAAAGAATACTGAGTGGTTTCAGTCCAATTATGAAAGAAAAAATTGTCAGGTTATTATGCTGTGTACCAATCTGTCTCCTGTGCTACCTCAGCATAAGTCTCAAATCCTGAAATCTTTCCTGAGAGGTGTTTTACCTGGGAGGCTTCTAAGAGAACAAGTAGCCAGCAAGTACGAATTCTGTTATGCACACAAGGCCACACTGAGGACTGGCTGGGCACAGACGTCTTTATACCAGTGCTGCAGTGTCTTGGGATGTGTTTTGAATGAGAAGATTCTCATGGAACGTGGGATGGCCAGCCAGCATGTAATAAAGTGCTAAACTGTGCAGTGCAGGCAAGTGCAGAAGGAATTAGCAGTATGCGGATGCACACCATGGTTGCACTGCATTAACTGTGTTGTGTTATTTAAAGGATTATTCAGACTGGAGCCAAAAGGTGATTTAAGAGCTGGGCTCTTTGGTTGGATGTTCTATTGGTGAATGCTTCTGTATTATTTGAATCTGCAAGCTAGAAGAAGATATAATTACTATGTGTTTCTGATTTAGCTTTTATAGCCTCCAGGATATTTTCAGAGGAATCAAATACCTATATCCCTGACCAAGTTTGGTAACAGCATCTAAAAAATAATTCATGAGGGGAAGAAAGGGGAAATCTGTAAATTAGAAATAAGAAATTATACAAAATTTGAATCCTTTCACCTAGGGCTTGAGGGGAAAAAACCTAGCATACCGAAATCTGAAATAAATTTTAAGTAAACAGCAGCCTACTCACTATTTTGCAGCTTCTACACATCTGTCAAAAACGCAGCAAATTCTCTCAAAATTCCAACTGTGAAAGTTTTTCCTTACGCTTTTCCAATTTTATATGGTTTATTCCCCTTGCCTGGGGCAGGTGACGTGCCTCATCAGTGTTTTCGGATAGGCACCTTAGGAGTAGATTACTGAATTATACATTTTGACTCTTTTGTTTGAGGAGGATGAGGGTAAATAACAAATTGTTGTATTGTGGAGCAGAAAAATATAGATATGTTGAACTTTGTTGTTCCCAAAGTACCCAAAGGTGCAGCTAGAAGGAGGCGGAAAGAGTGCCAGGAAAGTCCTCCTGATCAGGAGCAGAGAACGTTAACATTCTGTCCAGTTTTGTCTTGACTAATTCCTCCCTTGAGTACATTATTGCCCTCATTTTTGTAAAAATATAGTTTCCTTGAGATCAGAATTTCCCACTGCTGATTGGAGATCCACTCAGACCTCATTGCTAAACAGTGAGCTGCACTCCCACCTCTGCACAGCAGCAGGACCCTCAGAGCCCAGGAAGGGTTAAGGTGGCAATCAAGCAAGGAAAACAGGCTGTGCTGGCCAGGGGAGCTCTCAGCCACACCATTCCATCTGGCCAGGCCTTAAGTTGTCACAGTGGAGATTAACGACTCCTCAGGACAGAGGGAACTGATCTCCATCTGAAGCAGTTCTGAGGTCACAGGCCCAGCTTAGGGCTGAAAGTCTGCACTGAGCCGGGCTGCACTTCTATTCACTGCTCAAACACTCAGCACCTGGATGCTCCCTGATGCGGAGTGGAGATGCTGAGCTGTTCTCAGCTATTTGTGGAATGGGAGTGCAGAGCATGCCTTACTCCCTCCCCAGGCTCAGGTGCGTGGAGGGGAAGCCTGCCCGAGCGAGCGCCTCTGCAGCCTTCTGTTTGCAGGGCAAGCTCCCAGAAGCAGAGGATCAGAGTGCAGCTGATAGCACGCGGGCAGGTTCTTGGGTCCTGTGACAGACAGCGCAGGGTGGCTGCAGTTAGTGGAAGGTTGCTCAGATGTCTGACGCCCACAGGCTTGTCCTCACTCCCAAAAAAGATGTGCTTGCCAGATGCCAAGTGGTCTCCAGGACTGGATGGGACCAGTCCAGTCGGGGAACTTATGAAATCTGCAGGGAACAGGCTTTGTTAGAGCAATGCTGAGCACAGCTAATGGAGCCCCTTGCTGTTTTGGAAGAAAAAACTCAGAGGCAAAGAGGAGCAAAGCATTCACGTGTGTGGAGGGGTTTGGGTCGAGTGCATAGCCAAATGAGGCACTGCGAGCATGATGAGCACTTCTGGGAGATCATCAAATTGTAAAGGCATTCTAATTCTTCCACCAGCAGTTTATTGCTGTCTGAGAGCACAAGTCCTCATGTAAGAATGACACAGACTAGAAAGCAGCCTGAGCTTGGAGGTAGAGTGGGCGGGCAGAGGCGAGGACAGCCTCCCTCCTCCACCTTCCTTCTTCTTTTGTGTTTCTTTCTTTCCTTCTAAACAACTCTATTAAATATATTGAGTCTTCTGTAGAATTAAACAGGTTATAAATAATTAAAACTTCATGACTGGAACATCATGGGAAATTTTTATCTGTATCTTAGCAATATCTCTGAATCAGTTTTATTCTCAAAAATGCTTCCCATGGAGAATCATAATTGTTTACCCCATCCTCCTACCTCTTAAGACAGCCCTTCATCATCAAGATTCAAGTTGAACTGCTGGTTTAAACTTCGTGATGTGATAGCAGGTATAATATCTTATCTCAAAGCCTAATGTCCTTTCATTAATCTTTGTATTGTCTCTGTTTCTGAACAGCACAGGTTATAGGGAATGTGCAGTAGGTTAGGTTGTTCTTTCTCAGCCCTGATTTGACTGTTTTAATGATAGAGCCAAGTTTGGCATTCTGTGATCACTCTGTAAGTTCCTTGTAACGCACATGGAACGCCATCAGATCAATACAGCCCAACATTCAGTTTCCTTGTCTTATCCTGATGTGCAGTTCCAACTCTGACCTGAGGTGCTTGTCAAAGAATGAAATAAATGGAAGTGGAGTTTGATACCACGTAGGGGATTGGAGATTGCATTGGGATTCCTAAAATAGATTGTCAGGTATTTTAAATTCAATACTTACGGTGACTTCTGTGTCACTGTCACCTGCTGCTTGAGAACAGTCTTGGCCCAGCCCTGTTGCCATTACTTTAGTCCAGTTCACAATTACATCTCACCTAGGCTTCCCTAATAGCTTCCAACTGGGTCCTCCACAGCCCACTGTCCATCCCTCAGCTGGAGTAATCCTCCAGAACTGTAAGGAGCATGTCTGCTTAAGACCTTCAGCAGCTCCCCAGGCAGTGTCAGAAAACTCTGCTCCCCTTCTGGCCCACGTGACCCATGCTTGCTTGCCTTTCTCTTCTGAGCCCATCTCACGGACTACACTTCTGGCATCCTCTCAGATTCCAAAATGTGCCAAGGCCTTTCCAAATGCAGGACTGTACGCTTGCTTTTCCCTCTTCCAGCATGCTCCCTGCCTCCCATCCACACCCCATCCCCGTGACTGGCGTCTTACTTTCCCATAACGCTCCTGGGCATAAATGGCACCTCTTCACAGAGACTTCTGTGAGCGTTGCCAAAATGTTTCATGTCAACTGGAACTCACAGTTATTCTCCTTAGCATCTACAAAGATGCTCGGCAATAACACGGATTAGGTATTTTTCTGTTGATGCAGTAGTACTGATACTCGGCATTATTTCAGCTTAGGTTTATTCATCAGTTCCTTTCTCCTCCCCCACCCCGATTTGTTTCATAGCTCCAGAATGTAAAAAATAGAACAGGTACTTGGCCATTTTAGTTTGTCAGTAGATTTGAAGACAGGCTTGGAGAAGAAAGAGCTATCTGGAGGCCTTTCGCTCCTTGGTAGTGTATGAAGTACCAGGTTTGAATGAGTGTAACATAATTTTATGTACGGATAGTCTAATAAAGAAGCTCCGGGAAAGCATAGAAAAGAAACTGTGTAGAGAGAAGTAGGAGGGTGTTGGATGCCTGGGTCCTGAGCCATCCTGCAGGCTTCAGTTAGCGCAGGTGGGCAACACCAAAGGCATGGAGCACTGTGCCCTGCTCTCCAACTCGGGAGGATGACAAAGAAATCACTGAGCGGGGCCTGTACTTTGACATGGGGAGACCTGGCATTGATGAGGAGCCTGTCTAGACGGAAGGTCCAGGCTGCACCTCCAGACTTCCTTTGTGTTCCCAGGACGGCGAGCGTTTTGTTAAAAGCTGGATATTCTGTGAGAAGCGTCCTGTGGGCCTGCAGCAGAGATGGGCATGGCTTTCCTGGGGCTCCAGTAGGTACAGGACGTGGTAGAGTCACAGAGAAGCCTCCAGCTGGATGGAGACCAGAGAGGACCTACACTGTGGGGAAGGGCAGTGGAGAGGTGAAGAGTTCCTAGGTGCTGATGGCAGCAGAGCCTGCAGGGGACCAGCAGCACCACTCATTGGATTCTAGACCAGCCTCTGAGGCTCCTAAGGTCAGTGGGGCACAGTGCATTCCGAGGATCCGTGACTGTGCCACTGTGTATCAGCCTCCTACCTGGTAGGTGTCCTGGCGTCACCTTGGAAAGGAGGGCACAGGGAGCAGAAATGGTCTATAAATAAGAGTGAGTTATTATCCAGAATAGTCTGACCATTACCCAAAGAGATTGCTTGAAGGTATGAACTGCATTGTACAGAATCAAGTCGATTCTCTTCTGCTAGGTAGGGACCGTGAAAAAGAGCTAGCTGGTTGCAGACGAGGTAGGAGAGATGAATGAGTACACCTGTCACCATTCACTGGGGGGACGGGAGTCACAGTGTGCCCCCAGCCCTGAGGTGCTGCTGGTGGCAGATAAGTGCCCACCAGTCTCCGCTGAGTGGGGGCTGAGTACTAAGCATGCTGCGTAGACATTTCTTAGACACCCTGGGGGAAAACACAGTGTTCAGCCAACCAGCTGTGAGTGTCGGGGAGTTGAGCTGCCAACCTCACAGGACAACCTGAATGCTCTGGAACCAAGTCTGTTTTCCATCTTTTGGTTCGAACACAAGGTATCTGTGTGGAGCAAATCTTACTTTTGTTGTAGATCGATATATGTATGTAAATTCTTTTAAATTTGTTCCTTCAATAATTTTTATAGCTATTAACTCCCTGATGTGTGGGATAGGCATTTCCAACCATCTATTTACCCATCTATTTACTTATATCAATGACTATTGATAGGCCAGCTTTTCAAAAGATGGGTATTACCAGTGAAGGAGAGTCATACTGCAACTCAAATAAGAGCCAAGACACTTGTTCTATTCATTTATATAAATGTTGCAAAACTGGCAATAACACGTTTCACTTCCAAAACGACCTCGCCTGAGTTATCAGTAGTTGTATCCAATCACCATTCACTTTCCTGTCTTCATCCAAACATCCAGGTGGAATTTAATGGCTCAGTGCTGGGCTCAAGAACCGGACTAGCGGCCTACTTTCCACAGGATCCAAGACCAGTTGCAGCTATTCAGAAAACTTCCTGTAAATAATATTTCTCAGTGGAGAGGTGAAGCAAACACCCATGGAGTCATAAATGAAGGCTTTGAAGGTAAATTTGATTCTTCAGGATTTCCTAGCTTTCCCCCAGTGTGAACTGAACAGTGTAGAAATGGGATGCCCGTAGAAGGTATTTTAGAGTAAGAAGAATACTGTACTGTTGTCATGGCCATCATAATTGTTTATTGTATTCTTCCTTGAAAATTATTTTCCCATACGTGCTCCATTTTTAAAGGGAGAAGGCTATGAGCCCTGGGTTTATAATCTAAAATCGGAAGGAGAACGAAGGCGGCAGGCAGTGCTGTCCTGAGGGCTGCTCTCCCCTCTGTCCTACCCCAGTGTGGACCTCCAGTGCAGAGGGAGGCAGTGAGGAGGCCGTCTCCACCAGGCTCTGCAGGGCTCCTGTCTGATTGTGTTGGTTTAGTACTTCTGTCCTCGTATTCCTCTCCTGTCCTGCTTCCCGCCTTCTTCAGCCAGGCAACCATTCTCATTTCTTTAATGAAAGTCCTTTTACTGGTATGTTTTCCTTCAAAATGTGTATTGCTTGATGAGCGTGACGATGAGGGACTAACAAAGGAAGATGGTGGCATGGAGAGGAGAAACCAGAAAGATCAGAGGATTGCCACAGGGGACACTGCCATGAAACTCAAAGGAGAGGGCCTCTCAAAGGAGGGAGTGGACAAAGGGCAGACAGGCAGCCCTCGGACGGATGTGTGGTGTTTACACTCAGTTCTTTGCTCCAGGATCCCACCTCCCCCGTGTGTTGAGCACATTTCTTAAAGCACAGAGCTGTCACAATGGGCCCAGAAGCTGAGCTCTACCCTAGGCTCTACCAGACGTCTCCACAGACCTTAGAGATCCGTGGTAAAATCTTCTCACCATGTCGCGTCACCTAGTTCACCTATGAGGCTGAGAACAGTAACAAATGATGCTCACACCAAGGACATGGAACAAATCCCTTTTTGTGAAGGGTTTTTATTTCCAATCCTAGCAAATTTTATTTTAGCACTTTTTTATATGCCAGTCACTGTGCTGTGTAGGTTAACTCATGAAATCCTTCTAATAGCCCTATGAAATGGGTGTTATCACAATTTTCCTGATGAGCAAAGGGTTAGCAGCTTGCTTGTGATCACACTGCTGAGACAGAGCCCGGGGCTGGCTCTACTCTTGGACCCTCGCGGAGCTGCGGCTTAATCAGGAAACTGGCGCCCCTCTCCCCAGTCACATCGGCAAACGAGATGCTGCCCAGTGGTTATAATGGAAGATCTCTACAGAGGGTGTGGGAGAAGAGGTGAACCATCTTGTCCTGGTGATACTACGTCTATTTACCTGCCACGCTGTTGGCAGAAGGAATTAAAATTTATAAAAATAGAGCAACAGACATAAATATTTGGAATAATGATATAGGAAGACTATAACAGAGAATATGATCAAACTATGATAATTTAGACAGAAATTATCAAGTCCTGGCCATGACAGAAGTCTAACTTTGGTAAAAAAAGAAACCATCCTTATTTGCAATGTGTGTAAATCCTAAAGATGAAGAAGGGAAAGAGATATGGACATCACTAAGAATTCTGATAATTGAGGTTGTGACTAAAAAGAGGCAGGGAAGGGAAAAACAGAAGGAAAGACAGTTTGCTTATGTGCAGAGGATAGAAATCATAGGACAGTTCTGCAAGGCTAAACTTACTTTTTAAATAAGAGAGAGTATGCTTAATGTAGTTTGCTGCTTTGTGGACTGGTGAGCACATTTGACAAAGCAGTGTCTGGCTTCACTGTAATCATGGAAGATACCTAGGAAGACAGGAAAGCCATCAGAAGGACTTTTAAAAAAACAATAAAATACCTTAGGATTATAGGGAACAGTAATGCTACCCCGTCACTATGGTCCTACTGACCTAATGGGTGGAGAGGCATAGAGGGCGAAGATTAGTAACATATCTGGGCATCTAGTAAAAATATCCAGTGACTTCATCCAAACATTGTGTAAACACCAACCACCTCATCAGTCCCAGAGAGTCCTACAGGAAACAAATCTAAATGCCCCTCTGCTGTTCTAAACATAGCCAGGCACCCAGCATATGTCTCATCTGTAAATACCCGGTCTTTCTTGGAAGCCTTTATTTTAGTATTTCCCTTGTAAAGACATTGCTGAGCACATGCTGTCTTTGTTTGAATATTTGCCTTAAGGTCTGCCCTGTAGGCTTTTTATTAAATAATTTTGAACAAAACAAAACAACTTCCCTCCCCTAACTCGGGTCTCTCATAAGCTTTTCATGCAACAAGATGTATGAATTGCTGAAAGCTTGCCAGAGTCAAGTTACTAAATACTGCATTAAGTACTTATGAATCAATGAAATAGTTACCTAATGATTTTTTTTCTGACACCTGCAGCAGAACTCACAAAATTTTTCTCATATAAAAGATTCTTTTTCAAAAATTCAACAAGCAAAGAAGAATTGTAATTATGTTTTGGTAGGAGTTTTCCAGTAAGATAGTTAGCAGGTTAAAGGCACGCCAGTGAAGCCGCTAATCACAGGAGTGGGTATACCTTTACGGTAGGCAGAAGTTTGTGTTAGAATTCTAAATTTTTCTTTAGCCAATATCTTTAAGCCCTTTATGAATGTCCTTATTTCCTCAATCATCTGAGCCGATAGATTGCTTAAAATGAAACATCTTATTTCTCCCTAACATTTCTTGATATTTTGTATTGCTATTATCACGAACAGCGAGTTGTTCTATGAGTTTCCCCAAGGCTATTAATCCCTACTGGTAATAACCACAACAGTTGGGCCTTCCGCAAATCTCTGCACCTAGGCACTAAGCAAACTCAGTGCTTGGTGAAGCAATTTCCATGGGGAAGATGCTTCACAAGACTCTCGACTATTCATGTGATTTGAAATGTGCTATAATGATTTCTGATCAGGGAAGAGGAAAACAAGCTAGTGGCAAAGAGCTTGTGAGTCCATAGCATGGCTGTCTAATTCTCCAGCTGTGTGTGTGTGTGTGTGTGTGATGTCTATAAAGAAATGCACATCTCATGATACAGAGCCAGAGTGTCAGGGGAGATAAAAAACGGATGTCTACATTTTAACAAAACTTACTACAGTAAAAGACACATTGCCAAGGATGATGGGATACACGTGTCTGAAGGGAGGGGGATTAACAGCGATGTGTCTTTCACTGTAAAATATTTTAAGAGACACATTCACCATATTTTTGGATCACACCTCATAGTTCAAATGGGCATTTAATAAAGTAAGCTTTGTAGTTTAGGTATGGAACCTGATAAATACATTCTGTTGGAACAAAACAGGCACAATAGTGCTTCCCTTAGTCCCTTCAAATTATTTTCTTTTCTGTATATTTCAATTGAGTTCATTCCAAATGATCTGAACCTGTGTTCAAGAGGGCTCTGTGTGGAAGGCAGGCAAGCAGCAGCCTCAGCCATCAGGGACACCGGTTGGGACACCCTCGTGGTGGGCTGACTGGGAAGAGAAAGGGGAGGGCTATTGTCTATCTACTGAAGGGTCCCTGGTTTTTAAAGTGTGGCAGTTCATGAAGACAGTAATAGTTCTGATCACAAATTTGTCAGCCAGGTAGGAATGCCTAGAGATTGGAAATCATTGGTGAAAAGGAGGGAATTGCTACATTTACATTTCACACTCATCTTCATAGCCTATGTTTATCACTTGACTCCTTAGAATTCTGTGAAATGTTTCAGAAGCTCTGCTCTTAGGTTTCCCTGGACTTCTTGCACTTCTTTATGCTAAAGGTCAGCCTTTAAATAGACAGAAACAAAATAAAATGAGCTCGGGCTGGGATTTAGCTCAGTGGTTCCTCTGCCTGCCTCGCAAGCACAAGGTCCCAAGTTTGATCCCCAGTACCAAAAAATAAAAAAATAAAATAAAATGAGCATAATTGTAACAAAGGCCAGTTACCCTTGGCCCTTTGTTTTCCTACGGTCACCTCACCTTGCGTATGCGGGTGTACTGGTTTCCAGAGAGCTTTGGTAGGGGACGCTTCTCATTCCTTTCTCCCTCACACAGCTGGATGTCTTAGGACAGACGCATTCCAGCTGTGTGGCCTTGGCCAAATTATTAACTCCTCTGTGCCTCATTTTCCTTATCTGTGAAGTGGGGATGATTCTAGTGCCTAATTCATAGGAGGAGAATAAATTAATAGATGTGTACAGCTTAGAACAGTACCTGGTGTGCAGTAAGAGCTCTCTAAGTGTTACCATCAACAGTAATCAGAGTAATCATTTCCTTCTCCCTCAACCCTGCCATCAAAATTTCCTCATTTTGTAGCCATTCCCTTCTGTGCTCAGAAGCCTACTTAATCGAATTCACTCGCCAGTTAGTGCTCATGGTTTCGTATGATACCATCCCAGGAACGTTACCTTCATAAGCAGTGAAATTAGTGAACACAATGGAATATGTCCCTAAAGCTGGGCATCTGAGCTACTGTGGCAGGAGGCAAGGGCATCCCAGACAAAGCAGAGCCGTGGTGTCACTGTATGCCATATGTTTCTTTATGTGTGTGTCGTCTTCCCTGGTAGCATATCTGTGTCCCCACTAGATTGCAGTAGCCTCAACAGCAGGGAGAGGTCTCACGTGCTTTTGTCTTCCCGGTCCTTGCTCATGAATGTGTAGCATTAATATTGCCACCGTCCTCACCCAGCCTGCGGGTTCTCATGCACAAAGGAAACTGAGCAGACGCTAGACTATTGCCATATTTTTTCACAGGTGACAATGACAATACGACCAGTTTGAAGTCAGTTGATGTTACACCAGTTGCTTTCATGGAAACTAAGAACCAAGAAGGGTTAAACTACATGACACTGGCTACAGAACACAGCCAGAGTGAAGACAATTCTGAAGGTCCTCTGTGCTCCAAAGAATCCGAGTCTTGTGGTATGAGGAAAGGAGAGAAAGAGCCACAAGTAGACCGAGAGTTCTGCCAAGAGAAACAAGTGGCTTGCTGCCTTTCTGGCAATCGTGAAGGCCTGAACTATGCCTGCCTCATGCACAGCGGGTCTGGGGATGGGTCTGACTCCTAGCGCTTCTTGGAGGGACAGCGCTGAGACCAACATCCCACTAGGCTGCTGGTGGGAGAAGAGGGCCTGGATGTGGTGGTGTCGTCTGTGATTCTGACTGCACACTGAGAAGGTCTGAGTCTAATCTGCATTCCCAGAGCCGGCTGGCAGCTGGCTCCACTTGTAGCAGTCCTCATGCCACTGGCCACTGAGCTGTTAGGAAACACCACAGACAGGCATTAGAGGCAGGTGTGGGTCCACTCAAACCCTCAGGAGGGAGAGGCAGTGGCCAAGCAGCCGGCCAGACTTCAGGTTTTCCAGAAGGTGCTGAGGATAGGCCTAAAGACACGTCCAGAAGGAACCACTGCTCTAATAAAATATTGTCTTTCATGACCACTGTAAACCAGTTCATGTTTTAGAGGTATAAAATAGTGGCTTTGGCCATATTGAAAAGAGGATCATGAAGGCATGTGAGTCCCAAAGTTTGGCATTCTATGAACTCTGGGTCCATAAAAACCATGACTTGTGTGCTATAATGAAAGTTAACTAATATAAAGACTGCTTGGGAGCTTAGGGTGCAGCTCAGAGTGGAGCGCTTGCCTGTGACCAGTACGTAAGATCTGTGCAACTTTTTCCTCTTTTCCCAGTCGTGACTGGAGTGCTTGTGGATATCATCTCCTGATTTCTCTCATGTCATATAATTGCAGGAGCTTTCTCTCCCATCATTGAAAATTCCTCATAAATGTTTCTAAAGCCTGTATAAAATCCCTTATGATACGTATACTATAGTTTATTGCTTTCTTGTAGACCTGTACATTCATTCAGCACTCACTCATTCAATAAATATTTGTTGGGGCCGGGGATTTAGCTCAGTGGTTCTGCCACCTGCCCTGCAAGTGCAAGGACCCGAGTTCGATCCCCAGTACCAAAAAAAAAAATATTTGTTGACTGTCCATTATGGAGCAAGCGGTTACAGGTACTAGAAATAGAGAGCAAGAAACAAAGTCTCTGGCTTTATGGGGGTGATATTTTAGCATGCTAATTGAGGGAGGAGACACAGTAAACAAACAAAAATGCATAGGTCCCTGGAGTGCCACCTCAGCCTTCCACAATGTTCCAGAGCTCCAGATGTCTAAGTACTCAGCCAGGGAGCTGTGTTGAGAAAGCTGGGGACCCTGATACACAGGACGAAGGAATTTGCATGGATGTCCCAAGAATTTTCACTCCTGTGCCGGTGGCTCCTGGCTCCAAAGTGAGAACTAGCACTTCCTCTGTAGAGGAATCTAGAGAGGTCTCTTCCCAACCAGACCTTGGAGCTGTGCCCACTTTCCCTCCTGACTGCCCTGTGGGTGATTAAATCCAGCATCTGCTGATTAAAGATACTGTAGGGTCAGATAAAGAAGGAAAGAAATTACATCCGAAGGGACCTCTGAGAATTCACTAACATACACTGGCAGGAGCCAGGGGAGTCATGCTGGGATTCCATACCAAAGTGCCCGATCAAGGCAACAGGAAGGTAAGACAGACTAAGTGCAAGTTCACTCCCTGGAATAGGAGCTTTAATGACCTGGGAAAGACCCAGGGAGACGAGGCTCATGTGAGCCAGGGTGGCCTTGGAAGTCCAGAGAGGACCCGAAGAAGGCAGCAGAGGAATGAGAAGGCTGAGAGAAGTGGGGTGCTGGACTAGACACATCATATAAGACTGGGAGAACCCCAGGGGACAGACTCTCTGCCAAGTTATCAGAAATGCATTGGTGAGAGGGCCTCTCTCTCAGCATCACCAAGAAACTCAGGCCAGAAGGGCAGGAGAGATGGTCCCAGAGCTCGTTGACAGCCCTGGGCATGACGAAGGCTTGACAGAAGAGACTGGATGGCTTCACTTGACCAGAAGAAGCTGGAGGACTCCATCTGCATGATGGGGGAGAGGCAGCCAAAGGACTTGATCATGAAAAGTTGTAAAGATGGTTAAGAAAGCATGTTATCCCCAGAGCACACGAGACAGGCATCTGGGGTTTAACATCTACAGTCCGTAAAAGGCTACTGCCAGGATTCTTCAGAGAACCAATAGGATATGTGGATAAATGACAGATGATAGATAGACAGACAGACAGACAGACAGACAGATAGATACTATGTGATGGATAAATAGATACCAGGGAAGTCACTTTCTTAGTTCAGTCCAAATCTAAAAGCCTCAGAGCGAGAGGAGCCAATGATATAACTCTAACTCTAAAGGCCTGAGAAGCTTGGAGGCTACTGGTACAAGTCTCAGAGTCTGGAAGGCAGAGAACCAGGAGTTCTGATGGGCCAGGGGCAGAGAAGATGATGTGTCCCAGCTGAGAGATAGAGAGAGAGAGATAGAGGAAAGGAGAGACAGAGAGAGACACGATGAATCTGTGTTCTGTCTGGACTCGGCTGACACTGAATGATGGGGGCTTCTCTTTAAGCAGCCCACTCATTTGATCAGCTGATACATAAGATTAACTTTCACAAAAGCAAAAAAGGAAGAACGGTTGCTGTGGTCACTGCAGTGAAAATCACGATCCTTGCTCAGTTCCCAGGTCAGAGCCAGTTTTAAGATCTGCGGCCATTGACTGTGGAAGTCAACAGATCCTGGGTGGAAAGACTCTGCCACACCATCATGGGTGCATATAAGGGACAGAGGACTCCCACACATGTCAGACTCTTGAACATGGGGTCTGAGTTGACAGTGAAGCATCAGTATCTCCTGTCTTACTGAGGCTCATCGAACCAAGCACTAGAGTCTATCTACACTGAGTCCACTGGGTCTGAAAACCCACCTGTGCTCATTGCTCCACTGTTTTACCTAAAATTGGGATAGACAGACTGCAGAGTTGGAGTTGCCCTCTCATGGGGCCCTAAGGCTGTGGTGGGGTAGAACATACCGTAGTGTGGAAGGCCAAGTGGAAATTTCTGAAAATGCCCCCTTCCTTCATCCCAAAGAGTAAATCAAAACCAACATGGAATTTCAGGGGGACCACCACGACTCCTGCCACCATTAAAAGGTCTGAAGGTGTCTACTATGACTTCATTTATTTCACTAGGCCTCCTGCAGAAACCAGATGGTTCCTGAGAAGGACTGCAGAGCACCACAAATCAGTCACATAACAACCCCAGCTCCAGGTGCTACCCCAGCTACAGTGTCCCTGCTGGGACCTATGAATGTGGCCTGGGGTATGCAGTACATGTCTGATGTATCACCCAACGAGGAGACAGTTAGAAAGACTACTAGCACACATCTTCAGGCCTGGGCACACAGCGCTCACTGAGAGCTATGCATGTGTGTGTAGAATCCAAATTACTGTGGGTGCGGGAGAAAACAGAAATGTTGAGAGAGAGCAAGAAAATGGCTCATTGAGGTGTTTTGCCATTTAAAAGGAAACGAGGGAGAAGTGGGAAGGGGTGAAGAGAAGCTTTTTATTTTTGTTTAAGACAGGAAATGTTATATTAATGGCAATGATCCAGCAGAGAGGGAAAGCAATGATGCCAGAAGAGGTCATTGTGGAGGTGATGTCCTTGGGGAGATGACAGGGTTGAGGGACACATGTACAGGAAGGGATGTTTGACCCTGCCTGGCTCCCACCACCAGTGACAGAGCCTCTCCCTACTCCTGGCAGTAAGACTTTCTTTGCTGAAGCAGGCTTCCAGGAGCTTTTGCCTTTTAAAATTTGATAAACTTACTTTTTATAGTTTGTACATAATTAAAACTTTTTGATGTGATAATTTATGCTCTTCACAAGTTGGTAGCACCTACTCAATGCAATGCATGTGAAGTTTAGGATCAGGAGTAAATGAGAAATCCTCAGGACTACTGCGGCCCTGAAACCCTGAATTAAAGACGTGGTTCTACAGATGCCAGCCAGCACTACAGGGGTTAGAGGTAAGTTGAGATCAGAGGTATACTTTGTGATGAGGATGAGATAGCATTTGGAGAAAAGAGCCCAGAGGTAAAGTTTTCCCATAGAGGGAGACAGAAATTATAAGAACCTTGTGCGGGATGTGAAAGGAAACAATGCAGATGCTCTAACCTGGAAAAGTGTGGCCAGAGCAGTTATGCTCTGGCACTGGGTTGATTTCTGGGTTGTGCCTCTCTGGGCTGAGAACTCGTTTGGTGTTGCTCCTGTGCGCCTTGGGACCCTGAGAAGGGACAGCCCTAGCTTCACTCAGAGCACTAATACAGACATAGAAACAAACACAAGAGACAGCAGGAAACTGAAAGACAACTGAATGGCAACTGTCATTTTTAGAGCTTTTTATAGTGAGAAAAGAGGTATACAAATTAGAAATTCTTGTGCTAAAGGAGGCGACAAGAATTTCAGTTGCACCCAGATATAACCCTAAGAATGTATTTGGAAGCTTTATGTTCCAGAATGTGTATCCTGCTCAGCGGGGTAACTTTAAACGTGCAATGCCCTCCTCCGCCACCGTCTGCAGCACAGGAAGACCCAGGGGCTCTTGTGTTTTCTCCCTCTTAAGACTCAAAGCCCACATTAATTGACAGCAAGGGTGATATCGTGGCTGGGAGCATTGTTTATTTTCCTTTTCTGCTTTCAATATATTTTGTATCTCAAGAAAAACTGGGAGATGGCTTATCTCATTTGGGATAAAATTCCAGGTGCATTTACCCTGGCACCAGTCTTTAGACATCGTCAAATGCCCAAACATCCCAAGTGTCAGTGCAAGGTGACGGTGGCCAGTGCTGTCATTTATTAACTAGCTTGGAACTCTTTAGGGTAAAGTTGACTAACTTTTTGTCTAATTCCAACTGAATACAACTTCATAGCTGTTTTCCCTCAGGGTGCAGGCCTAATTCCCCAGATCCTTTTCTTACTCCTTTAAAAGAACTCTGAGTGAAGAATGTGTTTTTATAAAAAGCCTTTGAACAAGGAAGAACAAATAGCATAAGCTCTGCTCTGTTTCTTACCCAAATCTGCCTGTCAGTGCCCTTTTGTTACCTTTTGAGCATGGAGAAGAAACTGCCCGAGGTAAAAACGGGGCTTCAGACTCCACAAATAGATGGAAGAGGGAAGCAGTGTAGGAGTTTTAGGCCATGCTTCCAGAGACACCAAGAGATCCCATAAAGCAGAAGTCAGGGGAAAGCATGATGCCAGGAAGTGCCCAGTGCTTGCAGAGATGGGTAGCCACAGGAGAGGAAGGACGCAGAAACAGAACTGTGCCAGTACAAATGGACAGCAGTAAGAAAAATCTGTTTTGTTTTTCATCTTATTTCTCAAAATACCATTATTGGCCCAGGACTGACTGATAATGGAGCTGCCAAAAGGAAGGAAGGAAAGAAAGACAGAGAGAGAGAGAGAGACAGAGAGAGAGAGAGAGAGAGAGAGAGAGAGAGAGAGAGAGAGAGAGAG